CTCTCTTATGTTTAAAAATATATTGTTTATAACCAATAGAAATCCAAGATTTTCATCTATCAAATGATGTGTTATATTACATAGTTTTCTGAATAGAGAATTGTCAATTTCTCAGTACAAGCTTTGTTGCCACAGGAAACATATCAAGTAGCTTGGATGAATTTGTAACGGCTCTTGTCCCATAGTTAGAAAGCCAGAAAAATTGTGATAGTTAGGGGACATTGGCTGGTATTTGTGTGTTATTATTCTATGTTCTTTGGTGCATTATTTAATTAAATAAAGGTTATTTAGTGCATTACTACCATTGATATAAAAAAACTTAGGGTTAGGTGTCATAGACAGTCAACAGCAGAAAAAAAGTACTCAGGTATTTCTTGTTTTTCATTTTTATTCTTTATTTATTATTATAAAAGTAACTAAAATGTAAAAATAGGAATCTCTTTTGGTTAGTTAAAGTTAGATTAGGTAAAATAAATAATAACAATAACATAATAATGTTTCATGAGGCACTCATGCTAGCATCTCGTGGGTAACCAATTTTGATAGCGTAATATGAGCTCCATGTTCCCCAAATGCTTTACAACTTATAATGGCACGAATAGTAATTAGACACATTTCAAAGGGCAATAAAACAATAACGTTTATATATAAATAGATGTGTACTGTTACAAGTTTCAAGCTACTTAGGGGATAAACAAATGAAGTTTCATGTTACAATTTGAACTCATTCTAGAAAGAAAAAAAGGGTAATTTAGATTTATTTAGATTTTGTTTTGGTGGTTACGAAGTCAGTCAAATTGACCAACCTTGTATAGAGTTAGGGTAGAGAAAGTAGCAGATCAAATATAAAGTTTTACTGAAAACAAATATTTGAAATGTATTTAGGAGGTCTTAGAGATTACACAAATGAAATTTGAGATTTTTGAGATGAAGTAAAGTATTTTTAATCTGAACATGAAAATCATTTTGCACACTGAGTATTGAAAATAAATACTTGATATATTCACAAACATATCTTTTTTAGTTTATTTATATACTTCACTAAAAATATCACTTTTTGTATGTGAAAGACATAATTTTCACTGAAAAACTCCCAAATATTGTAAAAATATACATACTATATTAAAAGTTAGTAGTATCAAATCTATAAAGACTTTAAATAAGTACAAAGAGGTCACATGGTCAGTCAAATCGACCGAGCCTGTGTTGAGAGAGTTAGATATACAACTCAAAATTTCTGAATGTCGTGTATGTATTTCTATGCCATATACAACACTTACCCAAATTACTCCACCCTCCTACATACCACATGATTTACTAGGTACACATCAGGTACATGTTTTAATATGTTTACATGTCCACATTTGCATTTTGTACATCAGGGAGTACTTTATCAGTTCAAAGCCCTGCCTTTTGGTCTGACTTCAGCTTCCTATGTCTATACGTGTAGCTGGAGCTTTTGCTGGTCTTTACATGACCAACTGATCGAATATTCATCATTACATGAACGATTGTGTTATGATATCTTTAATGTTTCATTAATAAGTGACTCGTGGTCATTGGACCACCCAGTTGGCTTTCTCTTATGATTGGATTGTTCATGAGTCTGAATCTCAGTTGGTATCTACCAATATCTTGCATGTCTTGTGTTTTGAATTAAAACCATTCAAGACACTATTCACCCATCACCTTTCACTTTGCAATCCCTAGAGTCTAAGGTGCATCTCCTCTGTTTTCAGAATCATGGCTTCTTTCTCTTAGAGGCAATTCCCATGGATCATGCTCACATGAGACTCATTTAGTGGGATCTCTTAGTGGTACCTAGCCTCCAACTTGTTGTCTCAGTGAGTTTTTCTTTTTACAACTGTTCACTAGTACCTTTGGGTGTAGAAAAATGAATCTCTGTATGGGTTTGGTAGATTTGACCAATCTCATAACCACCATAAAAAATTAGGAAATAAATATAAATTATGCCTCCTTCATTCTAGAATGAACACAAATTATAATAT